CTTTATGGTAATTAATCCAATTGTATCTAACCGATACTAAACAAAACTTCTTTCTAAAGACGCTGATTTCTTGCAACACAAACTGCTGTTTTGCTTTCCTGTGTGTGTGTGTGCGCATGTGGAGTGTGTGATTGATTTTGATTTTGATTTTGCCGCTTACAGCGGCTACTTTATTGTGCACCCCACACTCATCCTGTAAGCGGTAGCGCAAAAGGATTACAGAGTAGGGTTTACAAAGGGTCATAATAATCAACCCCCGTTGTCAGGATATTATGGCACTGAATGTTACACAGTATTTCATTTACATTATTTGTTTAGTTCTATACATAAAGGGTAACTTATTCACAAATGCGTGAGTACAGGCGTGTGAGGCAGTATGTCTGGCCTCACACTTTGTTATTCACATTTGCGTGAGTGGTATTCAAGCACATTGCGTATTTGGTTCTGTACATGAGAATTGATATAGTTACTAAGTGCAAAAAAGTGGATACAATCTTAATATGTCGGCTATCTTGCCATTAGAGATGAAGTGTTGTGCCATTTCACACACAGTGTGCTTGGACCTGTCCCTAAAAGGTTCTATCTTCACACAGTCGAGGACGTAGTGTTCAAGTGTATGGCCATATGTATGGCCACACACTTTACATTTAGCTTTGTTTACATCTGCTTGAGGAACATACTGCCAAAGGTACTTATATCCTAACCTTAATCTAGCGGTTACAACATCTTGTAATCTAGTGATCTTGTTACTTGCCCCATATACATGTTTCACTTGATACATCTCATCATGGTAACCTATGGATCGACTAGTGCCTGTTTGCACTTGTCTACTTGCGTCAAACTCATCAATAAGTTCTTTCCTAATTACAGTTTTAAGGGTTCTTTTGACAGACCCAAATTGCATTCAACGGTGTCTTTGTTAGACTCGAGTTTGGCGAGGGTATCAACTCTGTCATGTTTTATGAGGCCTATGTGAGAGGGGATCCACATCAGTTTGACCTTGACACCCCGGTCAACAAGGCACGCATATTTGTGTCTGGCTTCAGAGACAAGAGCGTGACAACCTGAATCGAGGGTGCCAAGGGCAAGTAGTGAGGATAGAGAGTCAGTGATGATGAGACTGTCAGTAACAGTGGTTTCAATGAACTTAATAGCTGTGAGTATGGCAACTAATTCAGTTTGTAGAGTGGATGCCCAGTTGTTAATTCTAACTCCTTTCTCAATTATATTACCGTCAGGTTGAGTCACAACAACAGCACTTCCAGCCCTCCCACAGGCGGTGTTAAGAGATCCATCAGTGTAGATGGTCTGTGTGATATTATCATCAGTCTGTAGAGTGTGTATGTGTTCAAGAGCTCTCAATTTGGCAGTGTGTTGGAGATAAATGCTTTGTATAATTAATTTTTTAGGCGGATACGTCGGTATTGTGATATCGAAGGGAACTGTCCGCCAGGGTGGCAGGAAGTGCTGTTGTGTCTCGACTTTGTACAGGTGGTCTAGTCCAAACATCTTCATATGTGTAGCTGTAGTTTGGATCCATTTAGACTCAGTAGTCCCATGGTTCAAACATTCTTGCAATTTGTGTGTGTGTGTGTGTGTGTGTGTGTGTGTGGCAGTCTGTGTCTGTATTTAATAATGACTTTGTTCAATTGAAGGTGATGGTAATTAATCTTACGAACCTTCCGTCTGATGGTGTGAATTAGTACTGTAGCATATGCCTAATACTTTTACAAGCCATTATCTAGCAACATCATTGTCATTCCAAGACTATGAATATTGTAAGCAGCAAATGGCATTTCTTTCGTTGAGTGACTCTTTGCGCCCCCCCCCCCCTAAATCCTTGTTTCTAACGTTGATTACGTCACGTTTTGTCTGGTGTCTTTAAAAAAAATATTAAATTTTTTCCAAAAATGTGTATGATGTATTATAAATTTGTATCTTATTAATTTATTTATTTATTCGTTTATTTTTTATAAATGCATAATAAATATAAATATAACGCTGACGGTATTGGCGGGAAGGTGGGAGAGACAGAGGTGTTGTCAGTGCTGACTACCCTTCCACTCCCTCAATTGTAGAAGGACCCTGCCAACATGGAATACCACACGCAGAAAATCACTGAACGTGGAAGATTAATCGCCATGAAAGAGGCTGGGTTTTCACTCACTGAAATTGCACGAGAATTGGGTTTTTCTCGGTCAACTGTATATTATTGGATTAAGCGATGGTAAGAGGAGGGAAGTTTAAAGGACCACCACAGGACGGGAATGCCGCGCAGAACAACACTTGCACAAGTTGAAGCCATCCGGAATTTCGCTGAGGCCAACCCCTTCAAGACTTAATTTTCAATAAGAGAGGATCTACAATTAAATATTTCCCCTTTAACAATCAGGCGAAGACTTCACGAAGGAGGCATTCACCATAGAACTCCCGCCACCAAGGAGAAGTTAAATGAGCGACATCGCGAGGGCAGGTTTCAGTTTGCTCGACGGTATGCTGAAGAAGTCTTAGATATCTGGGGAAGAATAATATTCACTGACGAAAAAACTTTCTCATCTACCTCTCACGGAAGGTTGCACTGCTGGAGGAGGAACAACACCCGATATGCTGGACAGCATATTTATGAGGAAGCAAGGAGTGGCCATGTGACGAGCAATGTTTGGGGATGGATATATTTGCACGGAGTTGAAGAGCTGACTGACATAGAAGGAAGATTCACAGCTGAACAGTATTTAGAAATACTCGAAGAAGTTATGCTTCCCTCGGTGCGTGCATATGCTTTCCCGTTTCCCGAAAACATCATTTTCATGCACGATAGGTGTCCTATCCATACCGCACGGATTGTAACGCGGTGGTTTGCAGAACAAAGAAATGTGCACGTTTTAGACTGGCCAAGTAAAGGTTGTGACATGAACCCTATAGAGAACGTTTGGGGCAATATTGTGAACGTGTGGGAGCCAGCTGAAGAGAGAACCAGGGTGCAGCTACAGGAGCATACACACCGTGAGTGGGAGGTCCTGAGGCAGACACCGCAACTGATACGCAATCACGTCGCCTCCGTTCCCAACAGGCTGCTGCAAGTAATAGAGAATGAAGGTGGATGGACTAAATATTAATGTGTCAGGAATAATTTTCCTATGTAATCAAAGTCACATACTGAATGCATCTGAATATCTGTCAAATTGTATAATAAATGTAAAGAAAACAATCTTCTTCTAATATCCCCACTTGTGCAGTTTGTACTCAGGATGATTTAAGTCAAACAAATCGTAACATTATACTTATAATTATGACGAAAGAGTACAGTATCATATATGATAAATATATTGCATGTGAAATAATTACTATATCGACCACGTTAGTTCTTAGTTTAACAAATTTATTGACAAAGCTTGTAGTACAGTTTGCCTATTCTGAGTAATTCAGTGAGGTTTTGACACCCAGGGTGGTCTCACTTCTCACTGCCACTCAGGACAGAGGCTCATACACAAAGAAATACAACATATTCATTAACAGCTATATATATATATATATATATATATATATATATATATATATATATATATATATATATATATATATATATATATATATATATATATATATATATATATATATATATATATATATAGGTCAGATTCATGCCGGTAATATCACTGTTCACTGCCATGCAGGACAGAGGTTCGTACACAAAGAAAGAAATACATCATATTCATTAGCAGTATATATAGGTCAGTGGTTCACATACATTGGACGTCATATTCTAATTGAAGACAAATCAGTGTGGGCTAGCAAATTTGGGATAAACAGCAAGAATGTCCTCAAGCACTGCAGTTGAATCTCCACCAACATGTGGACTCGGAGTCCACATGCACACACACACAAACACTCCACATGCGCACACGCACACACAAGGAAGTAAAACAGCAGTTTGTGTTGCAAGAAATCAGCATCTTTAGAAAGAAGTTTTGTTTAGCATCGGTTAGATACAATTGGATTAACTACCATAAAGGGCTTAAACGTTTGAAGATAATATTAGTATAAATTAATGATAAACAGGCAACCTCATAAACAACCTGCACACAGCTGTGCCCGATGCATGATGTTCTTTAACATACTTACCGATTTTTACTTATGTTTATTTATCTAAATATAAATTCATATAGGTTGGCTCATTGCTCTATCCATTTTAAAATCAAATTAACGGTATATACTAGCACAAAGGCATAATATAATGCGAAACAACAAAGCCCAACCATTAATTAAGCAACGGGGAACTAAGTAAGCCAATCACCGATCACTTTGACATTCATTCATAATTTTTACTACGTAGTATAGTAAGCAAACGGCCTTGAGTTGCCAGCTGTCTCCAGCAGTGTTCGAAGAATCTTGAACGTGACTGTACATTGGGATATTATAATTTGTTAGTTTCAGTAGGTCTTCTATAGGGAGGGATGGTCTTCTTGAGGGTAGGTATGTTGCTGCGATTAATATTTCACCCTGTGTTGTCTGTACTTTAATGGCAAGGAATTCGCTGTTAAAGTTGTCTATTAATATGTGTTTGATACCTTTTTTCACCGCTACGGCAACTCCGTCACGTTTTCTCCATTGTGTTGTAGAATTTTAAGTGTTTTCAGTTGTAGATGGTCCATTATTTCTTTTTCTTTGGGGGGTTAGAATTGAGGGGGGATCACATTTCGTTGAGACCCTATGACTCCCTTTTGAGGTCAGCTTCCGTGATTACAAAAAATTCTTTTGTGCCGAATTTTATTTGTCTTTTTTAATCATGTTTAATACAGTTTCTTTGTCATGCCGTTCGTCTGTGTATTGCTAAACTATTTCGTTAGCTGTTACTAAGTCTTCAATGACTTTTCCAGCGGGTTTTCTGTGTGGTGGTTATGGTATTCTTGTGGTTTGATAAAACCTTTGTCCTATATCTGCTGCTTCCTCAGGCATTGGGGAGCTTTTGTTGTTAGGAAATCGATTTCCATTTCATTTTCATTCTTCTTGGCCGCTGATTTCCTTTTTGTTCCCGTTCCTTGTGTCAGTCTTGGGCCTCTCGCCTTCTCAGTCAAGTCTCCAGGTCGTTCAGCATTTTCCCGTATGTTATCCTGGTCTGTCGGTGGTATTGTGTCCTTGGGCGTGGTTAATCGTTGTCTGAAGTGTTCATTAAGCTCTGGGGTGCTGGTGGCGTGTAACAAGTTTGCTGAGTTTGGGTTTGCACGAAAATTCATTGGCGGCATGTTTTTATTTTAAGCATCCTATTGAACTCGTCGGCATATGATCCTGGGGCTATGATGTTATGAAGTTGAGCATGTAGCATGATCAACATTACCTTGTAATGATCAGTGTTACTTAATTTGATTCTGGTATCAGTAGTTGGTTTTGTTGCCTCTTTCACGGCCCTCTTTGCTATTTCAGCATATGTGCTCTGGTCTTTCATCCTTTCTCGTTGGTCTTCCTGCTCTTGCTTGTACTTGATGAGGGTCTTTTTGATGGGGCAGGACATGGCCATGGTTGGGCGGGTGTGGTGCACGTCCCCGTTCCTTTTACAGTTTACGTAGCCTTTGTTGGTGTTGTTGCACTACATGTAAACATGTCCTTCCTCTACACACTTGGAGCAGAATTTCTTTTCCTTTTCAGGGCAGTCCCTTGTGGTATGCTCTTCATATTCATACCATGTGAAACATGTCAGGAGACTGATGTATTTTTCTCTTTTTACTTGGTGAGGGGATATCGACATGTTGCATGCTAAGAAGCCGCACTGGAGGACCTTGTCTGCCATAGCCGTTTCTTCGAAACAAATCTTCATTACGTGCGTGTAGTCTTTTATCTTGATTATCTCTTCTACTTTAAGTCCTTCATTGTTATTCTCAATGTCTGCATTCAGAAAGTCTGCCGTTTGCCCTCCTATTTGAAAATCTAGTTTCCTTACGAAAACTGATCTCCTGGCTCTTAGCTCGTGAGGCATGACCACATTTAATCCTTTCTTGGCAAGGATTTGTTTTGCCTTGGTGGGTAACAGTTTGTCTGCATCATTTTCATTTTGGTAAATGACTTTGAACCCTTCGTTCAGGTTGAATACTGTTATGACCCTAGGGTAGGTCGTTACATAAACACAAATTATTCAAGCCTTTCAAATATATCAGTATTTATTATTATATTCTTAATCCCAAGTTCCCCCAACAAAGGAGAAGTTAACAGGTCAAAACCTAAACAAGTCAATAAACATATAAACATTTATTAACTTATTCCCACCACCACATAATATACATAGAATAAAATCACTTACAATAATAATACGACAAGATGTTTGAAAGTGGCTGAGTAAGGACTGAAGGTCCAACAAGATCACACAAAATCAATATCAAGCAAAACAATTCTCAATAATTAAATGCCAACTCCCAAAACACCAGAGAGAGGGTATACAGCTTAACTTAAGACAGCTGTGCCTAGACTGACTAGAGTGTACCATTAGGTCACCGACGTCACCTCTCTACTACCAAATACTGACATACTATATCCTGATTGGCCAAAACATAAACTTTATCTAAATTACCTATTGACATAAGTTCCACTTATCTAACCTATATACAAACCTAATACAATAAAATATAATATACTCAAACATAATATAGTAACTACACAAAGTAATAAGCAAAGTTAATACTTAAATCATGAATCATTCAATGTGGATGAGTAATGAGCAAAACTGCTCGAGCTAAACACACACACACCATCCGAACCAACGTATTTCATACTAAGAAATTAAACTTCTGGAGGACAGTCGGAACATCTCCCTCCTTATGTAAAAAGTTTACTAACAAAAGAAGAAAACTTTTATATGTCACGAGACAGGGTGTCTGCTAAAAGATTGTGTTTCCCTTTAATATGTTTTACTTAAAAATTGGAGGGCTGTAGTGCTAAAGCCCACCTCAGTAACCTTAGATTTTTATTTTTTTATCCTCTGTACAAATTGTAAGGGATTGTGAATTGTGTACACCTCTACGGTATATGGTCAACCCTCAATATACACTGCAAATTTTTCTAATGCCAACAAAAGCCCCAAAGCTTCCCTTTCTATTGTGGCATAACCACGCTGATGTGGTTTTAGTTTCACACTGTGGAAGCAAACTGGGTGTAGTATATCGTTTTCAAACTGTAGCAACACAGCACCCACACCTACATTACAGGCATCAACTTGAACCACAAAAGGCTTGTCAAAATCTGTCACTTTCAACATTGGACTTGAGGTTAACAGGCGTTTAAGGGTTTCAAATGCAACCTGGCATGCCTTTGTCCACAAATCCCTTCTTTTGGGGCTGACTAAGTCTGTCAAAGGATCAGACACTTGTGCAAAGTTCTTACAAAATCTTTGGTAGAATCCTGCCATATCTACGCAGAGCTTTTCGATCAGCACGAGGCGGGATTCGCTGTAGAGCTTCTATCTTTGCATTGACTCAAGTCACCCTCCTTTGGCCCACCACATGGCCAAGGTAGGTGAGGGTTGCATGGCCAAACTCACTTTTAGCCAGGTTGACATTAAATTTGTACTCCGACAGGCGGGCGAAAAGGGCACTAAGTCGCCCCGTGTGCTCCTCCCAAGTAGCTGCTGTCACTAGCAGGTCATCCAAGTAAGCACAGACACCAGGAAGCCCAGACTTCACCACATTCATAGCCCTCTCGAATGTCCCAGGGGCATTGCGAAGCCCAAAGGGGAGGATTTTGTACTGCCAAAGCCCATCAGGAGTGACGAAGGCAGTAATTCTTTCGGATTCCTTCGTCAGCCTCACTTGATAATTAAAGCTGCCAGCTGGGGTAGCGAATTAAAGCTACCAGTTGGGAGGCCCGCAGTCCCGTTGCAAGTGCTGTGAAGAACAGTATTCTGTCAGCTACTGTGGAATCACGCCGAGACTTTGCCCCTTAAAGGAGAGGACTTTTTGGACCGACCAGAAGGGACATTCCGGGTGTGGTGGAGAGCGTTGAATAAAGAAGCTCCTCTTGAGAAGTTGAACCGATCGCTGGCGCACTGTTACGAGTGAAGAGATGGTAAGTGCCATCCGTCTTTTCTCGTTCAAGAGGGAGATATGAACTGCAAGACAATTAACCCCTTCAGATCCTACAACATTTTCTCCCTGAGAAGGTTCTGGGATGCCTTCCAGCACGACTGGTACTGTGGTTGAGGGCCTTAGCCCTATGAGGACGTCTTCCACCACGCGCAGAGATGCGGTCCTTCAGGCAGGAATGGAGAAATGCCACTCGTGTAAGAGTAAGGATTTCCCCATTTGTCCAAGATTTTGTCCTACCAGACAGTGTGACTCAAAAAAAAAGGAGGTTGGGGAACCTCCAGAGAGGCTTCATGCACCACGGTCGCAGGGGAGCTTTTAGTCAGACCCGCCCTGTAGCACACTTTGAGAAGGAGCTTGCTGCTGGGTGGAGGGAACAGGTGGATGAAGGTCCATCTCTTCCAGTTTTGAGTAAAAGCGTTGGGATCCTCGAATAGAGTGGGGAGTGGAACGTCTGCAGGGGGCGCTTCCGATTTAAATTTCTGAGGCAGAGAACGTAACCAATGTGGAACGACAGCACCTAGGAGGAAGGAGGTTGCTTGGTGACACCAGTAGCAATGTACCGTACACTACTGTACCTGAAACCCAAGCCTCTAAAATAAACATATTAAATGTCAAACACAATGTAAAGTTGTGCTTATGATGTTTGGATATTATTATTCATTGTGAAGTTTTATTTACAAGGATTAAGATATATTTTCTTATGTACATAAGAACGCTTCACCTATAAATCCATAACTACAGAAAATCTCTTTGACTATACCGGCATCCCTGTCCTGATTACTAATCGATTTGAATCTATTTCGGGAGTGATGATGTGGGTTATCTGGCTTTTCTCTCCCTTGGTATCATTAGGGATTACGAGGGGAGCAAGTCTTCTCGGTGGGTTTCCCTGGGGTGCAAGAGACGACACAGTCTCCGGTGTTTCTTTTTTATGCATCTCAGAATTTTCAACTCTTTGTTGGCTCTGAACAAGCAGCCTGAGGGAGCGTGCTGGTTTGGGAGGGTTTGGAACGACATACCCCTCAGGCACCTCTATAAGGGTCCCGCCGGTGAGCACCACCTCACCCAAGCTGGACAGCCCTCTCGTATGACTCGGATGCGTGCTGGTCCATGTGCTGTACACGTCGCCATCCTTTTTGGATCTTGCATTTCGTTGTTGACTAGGGTCACCATCAGACGGATGGAGGTTTGTATAGCCATTCATCTCATTGGGCTTAGTTGGTGTCTTAGATTTAGATAGACTTTTTGGTGGCAATGGGTGTATGGGCGGCAGGGATTTTACCTCATTTGACTCCTCTTTGGAGAGTCGCGGAAGAGAATTGTTTTTTTCATTACTGATATGGTAGCTGAGCCGTGCTGAAGCTGTTTTTTCTGATACCTGGGCATCTTGAAGGGATGTGGGAATTTCTTCAACGTTAGCTAAATCAGGGGCTGAGTTGCTGAGCAGTCTAGGTACCGATAAGGGATGGTGACTATATTCTTGGCTTTGTGAACTCGACGAAGTATCTGATGACAACTGTTCAATGGTTACTTGTTGTGGAAAGCTAAACTTGCGATGGCGAAAATTTGTTGGTGCGTTTTTGATGTAAGTACGAGGCTTGTTGCCCAAATCCTTAGGGGATACATAATTATGGTCAAGGCTGTTGTTGGACTCTAGGCTCTTGTTCAAGTCAATGCTCTTGCTTAAATCAGAGCTCTTGTTATGATCAAAAGGAATATTCAAGTTCATTTCTGGATGCATTGTTCTTGATTCTCGGTAATTGTAATTGGCGACACTGTTTTCCTGTGAGGAAATTTTTAATTCATTAAGAGTTTCTGGTTTGTCACATTGGCTGTTGTGAGTCCCTATTGGATTAACAGGAGTCGGATGAGGATAATCATATCCATAGAGCGACTTGTGATATGACGTTGGTGGAATGTCATAGCCCGGATGAAAGTCCTGTAAGTCCTTGTGTTGATGGGGGAGACGATCATTCATAGAAGCCAAATATTTTATCTGATCGTTCCTGAGCATTTGCCCAGGGTCATTAGCAACTCCATTGGGTATCTGTAGAGGCGTCAGATAACCGGAGCTTGAAGTTATCGACACTGAGCGCACCGTCTTCCCCGGGTTGCTATTGCCTCCACAATCTAGGTACATCGTCCTGGAAGACGAAGTGGATTTTAGATCTCCATCACTTTTGCCGATGACAGATCCTGTGATGATGGAGTTGTGACCAGAATAAAGGCTAACAGGTGTTGGGGCAGAGATGGTGTTGATCTTTTGGGTGTTGTCGCCCCTCTCACTTTTCCTGTGACGGCACTTCTTCGGGCAGCACCAACAAAAGATTATCACCAGCAACATAGTGCTCAAGCTGGACGCAACAGAAGCGATAGCGACTGGTGCTATTATGTCATTTTCATTAGCGGTGACAATTTCTTGACAGTACTGAATGATCTCAGACTCTAAAGTCTTTTCGTATCGAGTATCGAAGTCTTCTGTAATTGATCTCTTACTTTTTATTTCGTACGTATGCAATTGGCGCCTTTGAGTCGTGGTGCTAGGAGCTTCTGTCGTCAAATCATATGGAAAAGTTTGTTGAAAGAGATTTTCATTTTTTTTTTCATCAAATTCATATATGAATCTCTGTCTCGAGTTAATGGGCAATGGTGAAGAGATCGGTGGACTTCTGGATCCAATGTTTACACTCGGCCCAACAATAGATGGCAAGCTGAAGGGGGAAACAGACCCAGAAGACGTCGCTGGAAGAGCAATCCTTTCTCCAGTGCTGGTGTAAACAAAGTTTCCTCCAGACCGGGTTCGAAGTGGATTGGGAGAAGTTTGCAGGCGCGGCGCTGGTGTGATGTTCGATGAGATTGGTACAAATGATCCTGAGGATGGAAAATTTGGAATTTGTGGTATGTTCCGAGGAGGTGATCGACCTGCATCCTCTGATAAAAAAGTTAGGTTGCTTCCTTGTGATGAAAATGTTGGATTGTTTCCTTGTGATGAGAATGTTAGGTTGTTTTCTTGTGATGAGAATGTTGTATTGTTTCCTTGTGATGAGAATGTTAGGTTGTTTCCTTGTGATGAGAATGTTGTATTGTTTCCTTGTGATGAGAATGTTGAGTTGTTTCCTTGTGACTGAAGCGTTGATGATTTTGACTGAAAGTTTTTCTTGGAAGGTTTTCGTGTATGAATTTCGGAGTTGTCCGGCAGCGATGACGGTAGACCCTTGTTAACGTAAGTGTCGACAAATTGGTATTCAATATGTGATTGTATACTGCGGCCTCTTGTAGTCTCGATGAAAAACTCGGAGTTCCTGGAGACTTGAGATTGTGCTTGAGGAATCACATCACCTAACCCGCTTGTGTTACTGGCCAATGACTCACTCACTTCCTGGTTAGACATGGGACGGAAACAAACAGTGTAACCAGTGCCAGGTTCAAGACCCTCGATGAAATAATGGTTGGTGAAGTTCTGAACTGGTTCACCACCTCGGCTAACCAGGATAACCTCCATATCATTCTCCTCACCGAAGCGACGATACGAAATCTTCCAACCCAGAGGATGAAGTAATATAACTGGCGTGTTGGACTTGCGATGGTAAGAGACGGTGACATTCCATGACAAGTTTACGCGCCGAGACTCTTGTACTAAACTCACTCTCTCAGTCTTAACAGAGTAGTTCTCTGTGGTTACAAAGGGCACCATCCTCGGGGCTTCAGTCGTAGTTGCAGTTGTAGTGGTAAAGAATATTTTGGCGAGGGTTGTAGCTTGACGGCAATTATCTGGGCGAGTAAAGAGGTGTTGCCCTTGAACAGGCGTTAGGCAAAGTGTGTACTGTGTTTCAGGCTCAAGACCATGCAACATGTCCGTGAAAAGTGAGTCGCTTGGCCTCCTACCATGTCGCTCTTCCTTGTACTTTTCTAACTTAATCCTGGTGGCTGCGGCCATTCTAGGGTCCTCTCGTGTTTCTCGCAGGGTGACGGCCCATGACAGAGGCTCAAAAGAAGGTTTAGAGAGGGAGTAGAACTCAGCATCAACCCTCCAGGAGATGATGAGTGTCTGATGATTGAGGGCAGTCACATTCAGTAGGTGGAGGGAAGCGAAAGATTCTTTCAGCAAACCATCCACGTCATCGCCAACATACACGACTTGACTGTCTGTTGCCGACACTTTAGACAGACAAATTTCGGACTCTAGAAATTGAAATTGGAAAATTTGGTTAGTGTGACAGCTTAAAATGACGGTGATATAGTAAAAAAAATCAATCTTAAATAATATGCATATTTACAGTACACATCACTTTTACAACGCCAAGAGGTTGTAGGTCAAATGAGCCACAATCTTGACAGGCCCCCCTACTAGCCCCAACCTAACTTAACCATGAGAATTGGGATCCAATAGGAATGAGTTTCATGAGGATTGGAACTATGTAGGACTGGGACTCTTAAGGACAGGCCTCTTAGGACTTGGCCGGAATCCTGATGGATAAGTTGGTTTGAGGATTTTTGTATCTGACTCCTGAAGCAAAAAATAAATGAAGAGAAAGATAATAACATAATTACACACCTGTTAAGGAAATCAATTCTCGATGTCGCAGGTGAAGCGGAGAGGAACATGTGGGAGTGTTTATAGTGATGGTGCCGGATGTAGCTGTGATGGAGGCATTATGGTGAACAATCTTCAGTATCCATTGGGAATCACAAGTACAGTTCCAAGGGTTACCTGAGGGCATAGCAATGTGCTACCTGATTGGGAGATGACTGAGTTTGAAAGACGGGCAAGGAAGGCTAAGATAAAAATGATCTTCTCTTATCAAAGTTGATCTTACGGATAAAACGTAAATATTATATTATATGGGGCTGGTAGAAAGCCAAGGTTGGTAATACGGCACCCCTTGCTGAGCATTATGGGTTAATTGTAAGCGCGGCAATTGTAAACAAAACATTCACGAATGGAAACAACAAGCGAGAGTAAGACGATCTTCTATTTCTCCCAATGATCGTGATCAATGGTACTCTCGATCAAAGAAGAAAAGAAATCATAGCGCAAAGTTTAAACATTAACAGATCACAAATGCTACTGCTGCTGTGGAGACAATGTTGCAAGGCCGTGACCATTTTTTTTTTTGGGGGGGGCCCAGAGTCAGCAAAAGCTAGTACATATGGAGCGCTGATATTGATATTGAAACAGTTTATTTAGCCAGAAACAAACATGTAAAAAAAAATCGCTATTGACATGGCTGAGTCAAGTGAGAATAAGGACCATCTAGGTGGGTTACAACACTGCGACATGGTGTTAGAATATTATTTACCACATTTATCACATTATTTTTATGTATTAAAATTAATTCAAATTTAAATTGAAAAGGACAAAAGAAGATATGTGTAATGTCCATTAAGTCGTGCAATTGTATCTATTGTATTTTTTTTATTTCATTATTACTTTTTTGCAGTAAATAAAGATTGTTTCCTATTGTTTATATTTGTCATGTCTTTTTTTTCTCTCCTGTTTTCATAGTACAGAATTTCTACAGTTCAAATTCGAATTTTCTATTTGTTAGCTATATTTCTCATAGCAGAATGTGACATAAATCTATAGTAATTTATATGTGCTGATTTGTAAGTCTTTGGAGCTTTTTTTTTTTTTAGAATTGTAATAAATTTCATACGATACATTTTACTCTTTTCATTAATCTTAATCCTGATTTCAGTTAAAAGATCTATGCCTTTTATTGGTGATGTATAACTGTGTTGTAATGCGCGCGCCGCCAATCTGATTTTGAAATGGTGCCGTGAAACTGTCTTGTGTCCAATACAGTATACAGGTATGTGGACATAAAATTTGCTCACGTTTTGTTAATGAAATTACTTAAGAGAAAACTGAAACATGTACTCGAGTTACATTCTATGTATACATATGGTATCTTATATCAAGCCGGAGCAGGTAAATTCTTCTATAGTTAGTATCTGAATCTTTAGTCTTTTTTGTGTCCAACATTAAATGCGTCTCCATACTCAGTCTAATCATATACTCATTTTTTCTAAATACAAACATTTCCCTTGTAGTCTATGGTATTTCTATAAAAGTCATGTGTCCCTTCAGGGCTCCACAAATTTTGTTGTAACAACCTCAGCACACAAAAAAATACTACTACTACTACTACTAATAATAATATTAGTAATAATGATAATAATAATAATAATAATAATAATAATAATAATAATAATAATAATAATAATAATAATAATAATAATAATAATAATAATAATAATAATAATAATAATAATAATAATAATAATAATAATAATAATAATAATAATTGACTTGGGCGAATTGTAACAGGCATTGGAGGCAGATATCTGGTAACCTGAGCATCATGACTAATTCCTAAAGGTTTTTTTTCAAATATATCAAACTAAAGCTCGAGACGAGATTGGACCAATACAGTCGGATACCGGCAAATTAATTGATAACGGTGGATAAATGATCATTAATCTGAATAGATATTTTTCAACAGTTTTCATCACCGAAAATATAAACATGATTCCCAAGGCACCAACTATATACGAAGATAGTGAAGAAATAGATTAAGTGAGATAGTAGTGACTAGTAACGATGTTAGTAAACAAATAGATAAACTAAAACCTAATAAGTCACCAGGTCCCGACGAGATATTCATCATGTCCTTAGAAACCTGTGTAGTACCAGAATCCTGGAGGATAGTGAATGTGATACTAATTTTCAAGAAGGGAGATAGATCACTATCCTCTAACTACCGTCCAATTAGTTTAACATTAATTGCAGGGAAATTACTGGAAGCAATAATTTCAAACTCAATTCGAAATCACAACCGAGAAACACAAATTAATCAACAAATCCCAACATGGCTTCACAAATGGGCGTTCAAGTCTGACAATATAATTCTTTTCAGCTGTTTTCGAATCAGTGAATGACGGACACTATTATTGTATGATGTGGTTTACCTCTACTTTAGCAAAGCCTTCAACAGGGTCCCCCACGAAAGACTAATACGTAAAGTGGAGGCACATGGAATTGGAGATGTTCTAAACTGGATTAGGGCGTGGATACAGAACAGGAAACAGTGATTAAGCATTAATGGCACTAAATCAGATTGGGGTGACGTCACTATTGGAGTACCCCAAGGACCATTACTATCTATTATATACAAAAACGACATAGATATAGGTGTAGACAGCAACATAAGTAAATTTGCTGACGACACTAAAATAGGGCGTGCAATTAAATCTGACGAGGACTCCGCAAAACTACGGGAAGATCTAATCAAATTTTCGTATAGTCTGAAAAATGGTAGTTAAAATTTGATGTGGACAAATGTAAATTATTTCGCCTACGAAATGTAAACCAGATATCAGCTGAGCAACGTTGATATAGAGAAATCCAACTGTGAGAAAGATTTAGGTGTAATGATAAGTAGGAATCGTAAACCAAGACAGCAATGCGTATTTACTCGAAACAAAGCTGACAAAGTACTTGGGTTCATAAAAAGGAGTGTTAGTTACAAGACTAGCGAGGTTATCCTAAAACTATATCTTGAATTTGTGAGACCTCACTTGGATTATGTAGTTCAAGTTTTTTCACCGTACTACAGAATCGATATCGAATCCCTAGAAAGCATACAGAGTAGGATGACAAGAATAATACCTGGTATTAGGAACCATGACTACAGAGACAGATTAGAGCATCTGAAATTGCACTCCCTCGAAAAAGGTAGAGTGAGGGGCGATATGATCGTAGCAATGGTTTGAAATTAGACAAATTTAGATTTAGGTTTGGAAATACTGTACAGTAGTGGATGGGTGGAACAAGTTACCAAACATTATCATTAACTCGAACACTCTGGATAGCTTCAAATATAGGTTGGACGGATATATGAGCTATAGGAATAGGTGTAAACGGGACTGCCTAGTATGGGCCAATAGGCCCACTGAAGTTCCCTCCATTCTTATGTTCTTCTTTTCCTCCGACCGCTAAGAAAGTGGTGGAACAGGAGCGGATCCAGAAATGTCAAAAAAAAGGGGGGGGGAGGGTCCAAGAAGTTATGGGTGGGTTGGGGAACAAGGCAAGCACAGCGATTCCAATATCATGTGCTTTATGAGACTATTTTGAAGTCATGTGCACTTGATATTAGAAGATATTCTCAGGTCAATAACAATTACTTTTTACTATACAAAACCGCCTGAGTACAATACTGCATTTAAGATAATGTACTGGAATTTTCTGATGAAAACGGGGGTCCGGATCCCCAGGACGCCCTCTTGGATCCATCTCTGTGGAACTGACCTGCGAGGTTGAGGTAGAGGAGCGGGGTGGTGAATGTCCTCGGAGTGAAGGAATGAAGAAGGTTGTTGCTTAAGTCCAGATGTTGTAGACGCGGCATGTCTCTGAACCCACCAACTAGCACATCTGTAGAGATTAATTCTCTTATTCAATGCTATTTACTTAAGCGATACATTCTGTTACATTATATCATATTTTCAAAAAAATTATAAAATATTGAGATTATTATTCCAATAATAAAAGGAATGAAAAATTCCTACCTCTGTGCGTAGATTAGAATCTTATCAATATACTTAAGTTCAAGATATGTCAACTGAGCAGGCAGAATTTCGTAATCAATGTAAAAATTTCAGTCATTCTTCCACGGGTCCACAATAATTGATTTTACTGCATAAAAAAATTTAGAGCAAAATCTACGATTTCCCAGATGGCGTGTGGGGTTGTTATTTCCTGATCGGTCTAAGCAACAGGTAGGCACTTGTAAATCTAAGTCAAAATTGGTCGAAGATTAAGGTTAAGGTCACTGAAAGTGGTCACTACATTCTAACTTTTACAATCATAAACTAATGTACGCATAATAATCTCACAGAAAGTCATCACAGTACTACAATTATATATTAACCGATTTTATGACATTCTCTCAGCTAAAAATTAGGCATTTTACCTGTTTATATCTGTATCTTCATCCCTCATCTCTACTTCTATTATCAAATTAACTCGTATTTTCTGTATTTTCTCGTTATACTAGTATACTCAATCTTAGTACGTCTTCATTTTTCCTATCTTTGTAACATATCTCTGACCTTTTCCTACAGCACCACATTTCGAAGGTCTCTAACCTCCCTCTGATGTCTGCTGACCAGTGCAAGAGTACTGACCATACAAAATATTTCAGGAGCCTTTTTCTTGTGCTAATATAAAGGCGGTTATTGTAAGGCGTTTTCGATGCACGAAATAGTTAACACGTTAGCTATTCAGTATGCGCAGACGCCGATTTTGATTTGTGCTCATGACACTTTAGCTAACACCTCGATGAGGCATTAGCCTTTTCTCAGGGCCCAAGAGGCACAAATAGCTAACAACCAATCAGCGGTTTCTCCTGGTGAAAATAACGCGGATCGTGGCCACTTATGGAGAATTTTTTTTTTAATATTGAAGAGTTGGAGGTATTTAAGACAATAAAAAACTGTGATACAATAATAAAAAATAATTCTATATATGGAAGTATATTGGATAGGACCTAAAACAAAGCGTAAGGCATGAAAGAATTGAAAAGAATTGCGCCTAGTTGAAACCTGTTTAGGCTCCTCCCATTTTACTTCAGTTCTGTCCGATTTCATAAACCGCTGGTGACCTTGGTGTAACAATATTGATAATTACTCAAAAATGACTAAAACTTTAATATCATTACTCATAAGATACTGTAAATAAGAATTAACAAGTTGATTACAGTTCTGTAAATGAAAGAATTAATACTTAAAACGAACCTTAAATTAGTTGTATTGTGTGTTTATGTATGCGAACAGCTGCAGGAAGACAACAGCATGTTAGTGTGGTTTAAAGCTCCCACCGGGGCGCCGGTGGTAGAGCGGTACCGCTCTTGCCTCGCAAGCGAGATGTCACTGGTTTGATTCCCGGGCCGGTGAAAAGTTGTTTGGACACACTTCCTAGCCCCCCTTGGTCCCTGTTCACCTAGTAGCAAAGTAGGTACCTGTTTTAAATCGAAAAGTTGCGAATTCGCATTCAGGGAAAGTTGTTGGAGCTTCCAATAACTTGCTGACAAAAACCTATGACTCTTCAGGCTTCTACGCCCTTGACAAAAAACCTACGACCCTTAGGCTTCTATGCCCTTAACTCATGAGACATAAAAGCAAGCATGAACTTAGCATGCTTCCCAGGTGGGCGCTGTAAGCGCCTCTGCGCTTCACCTTGCACAGGATGTAGGGGGGTGGGGGGTGCCCAATAAACTAAAAAAAAAAAAAAAAGAGAAGCTCCCACCCCTGACTCCCGGAGTCCGGGACCACCCACCTTTACAATGGGCCCGATTTTTTGTGTTATTCTTATTTATTGTTGACTGACTTTTTTTCCTTTTTTGTCTTTCTTTCCATAATTTTCAATATATTTTCTTCATTATTTCTTTCTGTATTGTGTCCAAATAATAGTTCTCCTAATTTTATTGTTTACTGAAGTCTGTGTTGTACAACAGTTATTCCCAAGACGCAGTACAATGTCGTATTTTTTAATGGCAGTCCGGGAAAGCTAAAGCGTTAGCTATTCCGTGCTTCTTTATGATTAGTAAATGCTAATTTTGCTTGATCTCTTCTCATTTTTCATTTATATTTTACATTTACACCACAACTTACGTTTCTCGGTTACACATAATTTTTAACTATTTAAGTTCCCAACCGTATTTCTAATTTTAGAAGAAAAAGATTACTTTTCAAGCATCTCTTTTCTTCTGTAGTGGATACTCTCCCTTCGAACTGCCGATTTGATGCTTACCAGCCGACCTCGCGGCAAGTTTCTCAGACCAAGCCTTCCTTTCTGACTGCGTGGTGATTGGCCAGTTACCGCCTTTCACCTCAGCCAATCAGCAGACTTGTATAAATACCACCAGCCTCGCACAAGAATTTCTCCTCGATTGCGAAGTCACACAAAGCCTCCGAAACAGAACTCAAATCTCCCAAGAAACACACACAACACCAGCGGCCACTCTAACCCGAAAGGCCCATACAGACCACATTCACCACCTACTCCGGGTCATCACACGATACCCACCACCCAGATAGCTTAGAAAGCATCCTCTCCCAGCAAGTGCGGACCCTAGTTCGGGGGGCGCGCCACTCAGAAACTGACCACGTCCAAGAGTGGGGGTTGGTGGTAAGCGTCCACTGATCGGGGGTCCGCTCACACTTGCAACCTGCAGTATCCCTCCAATCTGCAGGTGGGACCACCTCCAATCCCAATCCGGTCTGGCTGCTCCTAGAGCTCCAGCCGGAACCACCAAACGGGCCGCCTATAGGGAAAGGCCCGTGTCGGACTACGGTCCGACAATCTCAACAACAACAACAACACAAGAATTCCACTTGAGAACTGAACCTCGGCGAGGTAGGTTCTCTCTGCTCCCGAGGTACCGTGAGACCATGTTCACCTTCGACCAGGCGAAGGTCGCTAGACTGGTTCCGGTCGAGCACCCTTCGCGCAAAGAACTAAACCTCCTTGTCCTGAGGAAGTTTTTTGACTCCTCGGGAATCACGGGGGTGACAAGGGTCGTCCGCAGTGACAGCGGTGAACTTATCGTCACCTTCGCGGAGTGGGGAGGGGCCAAGCAATTAAGACCTATTAAAGAAATCAATGGAATCAAGATCAAACCTGTATGCTCCTTTGTGGACAACTCGGTTTTGGGAGTCATCTCCCACACAGAAATCGAACATCTCGAAGGAGAAGAAATTTTTGAGCTGATCGGAGATGAGATCTCAATAGTTAGGAAGCTGACCAGCACAGCTGCCCTGGTTGGCTTCCCAAAGGAACTTCCTAGCTCCGTTTTACTGGGTTGGGAGAAAATCCCAGTAAAACCGTACCAGCAAAGACCTACTCGTTGCTACAATTGCCAGAAGTACGGCCATCCGGCGCGGAAGTGTCGTGCTCGGGAGGTGTGTTCAAGCTGCGGGACACCCGGGCACATTGACGCTGACTGCTTGGCGGCCGTGAAGAAGTGCGCAGCTTGTGGTGGCCCTCACTCCTCCTCCGACCGGGAGTGTCCCAAGTGGAGGGAGGAGTGCAGGGTGGCCAAGCTGCGGGCTAAAGAAAAACTGAGCTACAAGGAGGCCCTCCTTGTAGTGAAAAATCAAGAAAAGAAAAAGCAAGACAAGAACAACCAAGACAAGAACAACCAAGACAAGAACAAGATCAAGGAACCCGATAACATTACACTATCTTTAACATCGCTTATTGACGTGTATGAGAATATCCTAGAAGAAGACCAGAATGAAGAAGACCAGAAAGAAGAAGACCAGGAAGAAGAAGAATGGAAAGTGAAAAGCAAAAGAAGAAACAAGAAAAGAAAGAAGTCCAACCAATCAGCTTCGGCCGAAATAGCCTAACGGCGAAGAGGCCAGTAATCCCCAACTTTGACTTTGACAAGAATTCTCAAATCAAACATACCCAACGTCTGTGACATCCAATTCTCAATAAAATCGACCTAACTCAAGACTGAAACCATTCAACCTATATCTCATTCTCGTCTCCGTTCATAATTTGACAAAAAAGCTCAAATCTGTCTGCTGCTATTACTAAAAACTCTCCTACGATACGCTCATCCTTCCTTACTATGAATACTTTGATATTTCAAGCTCAAAGATTCAAAACCCTTCCTCCAACTCGCTCTATTCCTCTTTGACATAGTTCAAAGACTTTACCTTCTTCTTTCTCCAAACAACCCTACGACTAGCAAAATTTCCATGTTTTCACCTTCTCTGTTAATTTGTTCGTGTGTGGCCTGTGCGTCCGTCCACCTGCGCTTCTCGGCTTGCGCCGCCGCCGTGGCGGGGCGGTTCTTCCTCAGCTTTGCCAACACTGCCTAGGCTAAGAAGACAACCAGAGCACCCGCGTTGGACCTTTGCTTGCCCGGACCTGCTCCCGCCCTCCCTCTGCCTCGTCCTGATTGTGATTGCTGCACCCTCAGGGTATATTGCCTACCCCCTCACGCAAGCGGTGTTTAGCCACTGCACCTGTTCTTTCCTTCTAAAATTCACTTCTATCCTCCCTTTATCCTTCCTCTGAACCTCCTTCCCCCCTGTCACTAGCATTTTTCTATTCTATTCTCAAGAATTCTACAGACACAGTTCAGTAATTTATTCAAATTAATCCTAGAACAAGGATGGACGCCAGAATACAGAATACAATATTACACCATACACGAACAACTAAGAAACATGTCCAAAGAAGCATACGTGAATAACTGGGAGAAATTAATAGCAGACACAGAAGCAATCTACCACAACCCGAAAGAATTCTGGCGAAAAATTAAAAACCTAATAGGAATCGCCAGCAACGAGTCAAACTGCATTTTAAATAGCAACCAAATCAAATTAACTGAACCCAAAGAACAAGAACCTGAATTCAGG